TGGCGGAGTGCTGACTTTGACGCCAGATTGCCCGGGCGTCCTTTGGATGCAGCATCTGATACTCGGCGCCCTGTCACTACGCGATGCCAGCTTTCCAACGGTACCTCGGACGTCTGCCCGGCGCCAAGATTGGTACAGTTACAGCCTGTTATGAAAGTGGTCTTTACCTTGGCGGAGTTTTGACTGAGTTCTGTTAGAGTGCTGATTTGATGCCTAATTGCCCGGGCATGCTTTGCCCCCAGCGTCTGAGACTTGGCGCCCTGATTCTACCCGATGCCAGCCTTCCAATGGTACCCTGGATATCTCCCCAGCGTCCATACTGGTGGAGTTACAGCCTGTTATGAAAGTGGTCTTTACCCAGGCAGAGTGCTGACTTTGATGCCAGATTGCCCAGGCGTCCTTTGGGTGCAGGTTCTGAGACTCGGCAGCTGGATTCTACTCAACGGCAACTTTCAAGGGTCCTGCAGAACTCTTCCCAGCTCCAATATTGGTGCAGCTATCTCCTGTCCGGAAAGTGGTTTGGGCCAGATTCATAGCAAAGGGTTGGGAGGGGGGGGGCGCTTTCTTTCCGTACCATGTATTATAGAACCGACTTGAATATGATGAGAAATACGATTTATCTACATTTGTGACCTGGGTCACAAGGTCTAATTCTAGTATTGCAGTAGTGCTTGCTTGCGTTCTGGCTGCCTCCTGAGTTCTGCCACCAAGGCTCGCTTACATTCTGGCTGCATCCTGAGTTGTGGCACTAAGGGTCGCTTGCGTTCTGGCTGCATCCTGAGTTCTGGTGCCAAGGACCGTTGCATCCTGAGGTTCGGTACCTGCTGTCTTCCGTCCTGATTAACGGTTTGCGTCCTGTGCATCTGGTGCATCAGAGGCACAGGACGCACAGGACGCAAGCTTTCATTTTTCCCGATGGTGGCTATACCAAAATACATTTTTAGAAGTTGAGTGCCCAAATGCTAGTTCTTATAAAACCACCCTTATATTATAGAACTAGGTCTCACTGCACAGACTGTCTATTGATGCTGTGGGGGGAAATACATTTGAGCAGCTTATGACGTAATTTAGGAGCTGTCAGGCTTTTATTTGTAACATACAGGTCCAAGGCATCCTAGGGCTCATATGACTACTATTCAAAGGTTCACATCCTGGGAAGGATATTGTGGGTAAAATATGGTCAAAGTATCATAGGCAGCACTCCCCTGGAGTACCACCCAGCTTAATATTAGTCATAGCTCGAAGATGGATTTATTGTACAGCCCCTAGTCAGAAGTATTTGTGAAAGGTTGATTAAGTACCTGGTTGAGTGCCAGATCACTGACTTGATTATGACTGTACTGTAGCCAATTCCTACACAACAGCCATGATACTGCCTTCTTTTTAATAATTTATTCTCTCTAAATTTCTAATGGTTAACCAATCTGGATATTCCAATTCTGCCTCAAAAAAAAGAGAAAATCATACTCCTAAGACCTCTTAAAGAGAAATAACCAATGTTGAAAAAAGGTATGAGAATCGTCTTTTTCTACTGCCTCTGGAATATTACCCTAATTGCTCAAGCTAGGGAATGGCTATAGACAACTATTAAAAGCTTTCTTGCATGAGTGTATAAGCTGCAATTCTTAGATAATATTCCTTGCCCTGATTGCCTACTAGTTCTCAGCTAGGGATAGCATCAAACACTAATCTGAGCAGTCAAATCCAACTAGAAAATGACCAGATCTGACTTTTAGGATAAATATGGATTAGGCATTTCACTTTCTATAGGTAACAAAATAAAACTCACCTTTCTTATACTATACTGGATAATAGAACATGAGTTTCTAACAAATTTAAAGTAGACAGAGTACTTAGAGAAGCCAATCTCAAGAAATAACTACATAAACCAAGGTCTAGACTCAAACCTGATCATATTACTAAGAGATTAAAGTAAGCTACAGCTTATAAGAACTGGACAGTTGAGGATTTTGAAAAAGTCATCTAGAATAATTAGTGTAGTATAGAGAAATCTAGGGATCCAAGAGAGTATGGGGTTTTCAGAGAATCTATAAGGGAGAAGTAGCTGGCAGATTGTATTCAGCTAATGGAGAAGGATAAGGCAATTTTGCTTATAGTATAGAGGTGCTTTTAGGGTAAGAAAAAAGATCTTTTGGTTCCTATTACTCAAAATATTAACAAGAGCAGGAATTTTGGACTCTTGTGAAGGTATCTTTTTCCTGTTATTAATCAGATAATTTCTCTTGGTATGCAAGATTTTCTATTTCAATAAGACAATACTCCTGTTCATAAGGTATATAATGTCATAGATTAGTTGGAGAGAAATTCTATTAAAGTGGTAGATCACCCCCCTGACTCCCCTGATTTAAATCCTATTGAGCATATATAGATTAAGTTTAAAAAGTGATTGTACCAGTAGCACTCAAGAATTGCAGATACTCTAGAAGAAAAAAAAGGTGATAAGAAGAGACTTGTACAGGTACTACCTTTGGTTTAGGAGGCAATTTCTGAGGTATTTTTTGAAAAGTTGTAGAAATTAATGCTTGATAGAGTAGCTGCAGTTTGGAGGCAAAGGAAGGCTATATAAGGTATTAGCTAATATTCTTAACTTTAATTTCTTTCTGTATTATTAAGTTAATATATATAGAGTAGATTGTTAAGAATTGATTATAAACAATTTATCATCAGTAAACAATCATGTACTCATTACTACATTGTACTTGCAAACTGCAATCCTGCTACTCCACTAACCTACTATACTGCTATCCTACTAGGGTACAACTATAGCAATTAAATATGTCTTGGATTACAAACACTTCTGACTAGAGGCTATTGTCACGAACTGTGACTAAGCAAGGCAGATTTCACATAGCTCGGAATTCCAAGCTATAGGTATGTTAGGATTTCACATGATATACATTGGTGCACCATAGGTTATTATGTTTACCTGTTCATGACTCACAGTTGTGAGTCACACGATGTTATGATTTTCGCACATGACTCACACTTACGAGTCATGGGTTTCACTCGGGTGATGCGAGTTGCGCACCTGTCTTGGTTATTATAGTTTGATTGGTTTTAGGTATGTTGTGCAGCGACTCATAGGAGTCAGCTGATGGATTTCACATGACTCATAGTTATGAGTTACAAGGTTCGCGTGACGCATAAGTATGAGTCACGCCAGGTGAAGAGCTACTATATAAAGGGTCACTAGGATCCCTAGTATTAGCTCTTCACATGTTCTTCTTGTTTATTTCCTACCTTTAAGTTATTTTCAAATAAAACCTACCTTTACGCTCTTTAAGATTTATCTTAAGAAACCCAAGAATTGTCTTTCCTCTCAAGCGAGAAAACTATTTCTCCTCCCACATCGAACGACTAAGTCCTAAGTGAGGACTTAAGAAGCATAAGAGGATAGGCGCGAACACGATAGTAGTCAAAGGACTTGACTATCAGGATCGCGTAGGCACAGGCCTGATAGCTATCATCTTACAGAGAAGTATCATTACCTGTCGCTAGGTCCTACTCGGTAGGATTCTTAACAGCTATATGGTTTGAGCTGGCTAAACCATACACAAGCCTGCAAAACAGTATTATGTAGTTGTACTATTCTAAATGTCCATATCTAGAACTGCAATTAGATTTTCAAAGGAAGATTCTGACATAAAGAGAAGTATTTTGTATATTAAACTAAGAAACTTATAATATTTTATTAATAGTATAGTTGTTTTCTATTTCACCTTAGTAGTAATAGAACCAAGTTAGTTTACATATATAGCCACCTAGCAAAAATATTAGTAATCTGAGACAAATTTTTTTTTTGTGGGGAGGGGATTGCACCATAAGAGCTGGGGGATTGTCAATAGACACAAGTGTAGAATCAATTTCTACAAACAACCTTTAATAGTCAACTCTTCATAATCAACTCTCAACAATTAATTATTAATTATGTAAACCTTAAAGTAACAAATAATAAATAATACATGTTAATACCTTATATAATCTCTCTTCCAATACTGCAGTTACCCTTTTAGGTATTGACTTCAACAACCCCTTAAAA